GGCCAGTCTCCTGTCGTTCCGGTGCTTCATGTTTGATGTAAAGGCCGCTGTCACACCCGACGCGTCAACGTACGCGTTCCCTGTCCGGCACGACCGATACTAGCAGAATCGATGACCAGAAACAGTTTGGCTGGAACAAGCTTGACTTCTCGAGCCGTTGGCTGGTCACGACGTTGGCTTGATTGAACCAGCAAAACTGGGCTCTGTATGGATTAATTCGTTATTAATCCTTATTCAAAAGATGCTTGGTTCTGCCAGGTTCCAATCAAGTTGGAATGCACATTTTGTTTTGTTTGCTCAACTGGAAATGACAACTCGCGTTACTTTATTTATAAGAGCTGCGCTGATCTACATAATAATAAGTTAGAGTACATGTGATTTGGGTTTATAGTAACTCGCCTTGTTGAGAACGGAACAACGTATGCGATGCACAATTTGTACGAACTAAGGTAGACAACATAATTTCCCAGCCCCCCCCCCCCCCGGCTAAAGCTAAGAACCCTAGTTTTATGTACAGGGAAGCTACATGACAGCTAAAAAGTTACCCATGGTTCTGTTGGTCTTATTCATCACCTTCCCCATGAGTCACTCCTGCGTAATCGTCGCCTACTTTTATGTAAAAACGAAAAATTCGCGACTAGGTCCTGACCTTGAGACCTGGTATCCTAAGGTATCAGGTATTTTTATCGAGATAGGCATAGATATCAAGCAATGGTCTGAAACCCAAATACTGAGCTCTGATTGGTTAGACCCAGACTTGCGACTCTCATTCATTTGAACACCACCACCAAGAGACACAACACTGACGCTAATGGAGCGCTAATCCCGGGTCCCCCAGCCTTTTACAGACCACGCAACGCGCCGATTAGCTGAGGACACGTGTTGGCTGGGATATCCCGCCATACCCATGCTGAAGTCAGCGTCTACGACGTACCTGTCGGACATCACCTATGCCTCAGAGTGAGTCTTATGCTCACGTCAGTGTCAAGGATCCCAGTAGATAAGACGTTGAAGTAGTGAGCTACTTTTATACAATATTTAGTATCAATGAGGTCGCAGGGCTTGGCGACAAGGGAAGACATTATCACTTGTGGAATCTCCTTCTCCTTGCCAAGTACTGCCACCACGATCCCGGAGCTGAGGCCCTGCTATACAGCGTTCAAACTTCATATTCCATCAACGCTAGAATGAGCAAACGTCAGTACCCCGATGTGACAGATGACGAGCTTTGCTATACTGGCGTTGGCCACTTCGAGAGCTTTTTGTGGACTTAATGGCAGGGTGGCGGCGCCCCTTAAGCTCAATCAGAAGAAAGCGGCTTACATACTGGCACGAACTCCGTCATTAGGCTACTCCAACCAGGTTAATCGCTCCTGCTACTCCCAGTGAGGGTACGGCCCGTTTTACCGACATTACGTGTAACTATTTCTTATGTATCGCGTGTGTTGGTCTACAGGCACGAATAAAATCAAGTGTGAAGAACTTGTTCCAGCCGGGTGATCTAGATTCGGCGCCGATCACCACCTGCGTTGAGGACTTCGTGGCGTCGAAGCGCACATCTAAGCAGAGTGAGATAGAATGCAGTGATTACCAATGACTCGTGGTTTACATATATTCTGACTTGCGCTGTGTAATGTGTATGGGGGTTTAGGACGCGGTGCTCGATAAAAAATGAGATTATAACCGTATCGCAGAACATTACTATCGCTGAGCAGGTTAGTGAGCATTAAATTAAATGCATAATAGTATGTATGGGGCTAATATAATTGTTTTTTTGTGCAGCCATATTGAAAAATCGTCAATGCTTCTATGGCCACGCTCCGTATCAGCCTTTTCGATGGCTGCCTCGGTGGATAGACTGCCTTTCACCAGACTACGTATGCACTTGATGACGTATAATCGCCTGGAGAAAAACTTTGAGTTTCTTTGTTGACAATCTCCTTTTTGTTGCATACGTTTTTGTGGTGGAGTGGGATTCGCAAAATCGCGTTGCGATCCACTCAGACACACAGTGCCCTGGACTGCCGACTGACGGAGGGGGTACTCCGATAACCGTGGGGTTGCTGAGGGCTCACCTTG